CCTGGCATTTAGGATTTACGTGGCATTTGAAAACTACCACATTTCTCTTCTTTAATAACTCTGTAAATCGTAGATTTCCCAACACCAAGTGTACTGCTAACTAACTCAACGGTCTCATCAACACTTTCACATAAACGTTTGTCTGTAAATGATTTAAAACAATTAAATATTAATGTTTTTTCATTAACTGTTAAAGGACCAATTTTTCGGCGTTTACACGGCACTTCCAAATTTTCCATAACACTAGTATACACAATAAACTGCACCTTGCAACTGAAGTACCTACTTTTAGTGAACTGTTAAGAATTTTGAATACGCCACTTGGACCTTCATACAAAATGGAAAAACCCACTATCACATTATCTGTGGAATAAGTTTAGAAGGTAATTATCTAGTCAATTACTGTCGTAGATTCCTGGAATTAAAGAATTAAATGTTTGATTGTTGAAACCCTTACTTCGTGGAATGCACTCATTTCAGATAAAATAAAACGTTTTATTTTATCTAAAGAATTAAACTTTATTTTGCAAATAGGTAGGTACTTATTAAACTTTTATTGGTTATATATAACCAATAAAATAAACATCTTACATTTCTTGCAAATTCATTAGTTCCTGTTAACCTCCATCACTCCGACACTGGCAACCTTATTTAGGGATTAGTAACCCTCACAACTATTGTATTCTATTCTGCTCCAACCTTTATACCTGGTGGTCATACTCAATTTAAAATTGTTTTCCTATATACTTCTGTAAACTTGTTGACAAATATCTGTTTTTCATTGAGTCACCCGTATCAACAGTTTAGGGATTTGCATACATAATTTATTGTTTTATTACTCTCTCATACATAAAAATACACTATAGTCCATTGTCCATAATTTTTTGTACCTCCTCTTCAAGTTCTTTCTGTATCAGAGGACGTTTATTGCGACTACACCGCGCCATTTTAAATTACTCGTTAATTGCACTAGAAACACTTGTACCATAAGCGGGTCAAAATTGAACCTATGCGTGCCTAACTCTGCAGTAGTTACAGATAAAATAACGGAATTTTCGTAGATCGATAAATCACCTACCGGTCGAAGATTAGCAGAAAGCGCGCAATGCTCAATCTATGTTTCGGTAGCGAAACTTGGCATTAAAAACGCGGGGGGTCAATTTTGACCCCACCATGGTACTTAAGGGTTAATAAAAGGTACATATGGTATTGTTTGTGTATATTTTTATTCCTTTGTGTCCTCATACTTGCGAATACAAAATAATTGATACTGAGCCACGGAAGTAAGTTCTGAGACAAACAAAGTTATGGGTAAGTTTATCAATTTAGATATTGTATTTTAAAATTAAATTTTCCTTACCATAACAATATATATTATTAGTAAGTTGAATAATATAAGTGTGTTTTATAGTGTAGTTTTATTTAAACGTATTCGTTTATTTGGGATACTTATTTCTACTTCAATCAAATCTTCAACAATCAAAATACAATATCACAAAATATTTCTAATATACATTTTGACACAGATGTAAATATATTGACCCAGTTTTGAGTGATTGCAACAATGTTGTATTTCTGGACCTGTATTCTAATTTTTTAAACTCCGGTCACGTCGGTGTCTCTACACCATTTGGTTTAAAAATATTAGACAGACGGATTTTGCAATTTAAGAGGTTTTTCATATCATTTTGTTTGCGAAATACCGAAAATTGTGAGCTAGATAAATATTTCGGGCACTGTTCAGACAAAATGTAGTACGTCAGGAATGAATATGGAAATTTAAAAAAAATAGTGAGCGATACTTCGATTTTCATTCGAGTCCTCATATGTTTTTTATTGGGATCAGGAATCAGGAGATCCTGATACCCACAGTTCAAGTTTTTATATATCTAGAATTTATTAATTCAATGTTACTTGACCACCAACTTATAGTGTAGTGTAGCGAAGGGTTCTGTTCGTAAGAAATATAATGCATAATACGGCCTTCTTTACAGAGCTCTTTTATATAGTTTATCCATTGATTTGTTTCTATGTTCATCTTTTTAAGGAATAAGTCACAATTCAAGTTTAAAAAAAGTTTATTGCCGTTTTAATTTCCACTTCGGAAATCGTTTTTTCGTTGCGCTGTATATAGGTGTTCCTATTTTAGAATCGATGTAGTTTTTTCTATCTTTGTATTGCTGGTAGGTGCTATTTACTATATTGCTGCAGAGTAAGGTTTGTCCCAAACCCTTTTTTCAGTGCGTCACTAATTTTGACGTCATATAGGATTTTAAGAATGTCGAGAAAAACGTGAAACTAAACGTGAAAAGGTTATTTTTTTTTAATGCATAGCAGTTTGTCATAATTCTATTCTATTCTGTTCTATTTTATACATTCCATGGAAAGTGCTTAATTAGCTAAGATTTGTTTATGGATTTATTATTATTTATTACAAACACTAGGGAATTGGAAGATTTGTTTATTTAAAATAACGCTTCCTCCTAGAATCTTTTAAGAGTTGACTGCAAGGTAAAAAAAATTACTGACAATTGCAAGGCATCAAAGTAAACATTCCTGCGATAAAATAATATCGATTTAAATCAGTCATATTTGGATAAGGAATTTTCTGATAAGTTTGTGTGGCAGCCAATAGTTTAATTTTGTGAAGAGTTGTCATTAAATAGTGGAAATAGTTTAAATAGTGAAGCAGTTGATTTTTGAGTTATTCTACCAGATTTGGTGTGCAAATGAAAGAAGGTTATAAAGTTTAGTTAAAAAAACAATATAAATAGTTTAAATAGTGAAGCAGTTGATTCTTGAGTTAATCTACCAGTTCCGATATCCAGATGAAATCGTGTTAATGGAGTTTAGTTAAAAAACAAGATACAGAATGTAAGTTTACCTTCTTTTTTATGAATAACAAAAATGAATATTATATTTCAAACAATCTATAATCCCATTCAGAATCTGATTCTTGAAAATCAATGATTACACTAGATATGTGGCTGGTATCAATTATATCCTACATTTCAAGAAAATGTCGTGGTTCTAAAAAGAACCGTTTTAATACATATAAATATCCATAAAGGTATTAGTTTAAGATATTTCCTCAATATCATTCCGGAATTCACAATCTGATTCGCGAGCGATAGAAACTGAAATAAAGATAACTCAGCCTCATTTTCTAATTGAAACTAATTTAATAATTTTAATATTAGTCTTTTTTCATTCTCGGTATATCTCGGAATATTTAAAATATTTTTATGACAATAAATACAGAATTTAATTTTCACTGTAGTTAAAATGTCTGAAAATACTAACCTGGAATGGCAATTATCATTTTATCAGTTGTTGTGAAAGTACTGTCACTGTCATTATCAAGATCATCTGTGTCAAATTATATTTATATGCATAATTGATTGGAGATCTATTTAGCATATTCTAAACTCCAACCAATTATACGTTCGTAAGTAGAATTCGCTTTAATATGCGAATACCCGTAAACGATACCTAATTTTCTAATTTCTATGTATAATAATAAGCGACTCACGTTTTTTTCTGTCACTTCTAGCTTAATGCGTTAGAGAGAATTCGAACAACTATGACGCACTGAAAAAAGGGTTTGGGACGGACCGTATGTGTTAAAGCAACTGACCAACTATTCACAGTGAAACAAATTTTAAACAAATCGTGGGAATACGACATTGACGTCCATAACATATTCATAGATTTCAAACAAGCCTACGACTTGGTTAATAGGAACAAGTTATATCAAATATTGCAGAACTTTAATATCCCCCAAAGATACGTCCGACTGGTAAAAACAACAATGGATTCGTCAATAGCAACTGTCACAGTCCAAAATGAGCTCACTGAAAACTTTACAATAGTCCAAGGATTAAAGCAAGGAGACAATATTCAACCTGACCTTGGAATATGTGATAAGACAGCTGAATATAGGAAAAAATAATCTCTTAACAAATAAATCAATACAGATTGCCGCCTATGCCGATGATATCAGCATCATGTCTCGCAGAACAGAAGAGGCGGCAGAAATATATTCACAATTAAAAACAAAGGCAAAAGAGACCGGACTAGAAATAAATATTCAAAAGACAAAAAAGTTAACACAGGCAAGAGCTAGGGGAAACAGACGCACAGTCGAATTAGAGGACGATATTGAAATGGTAGAAAGTTTCACATATTTAGGAGTTGCATTACGGGTGGAACAAGAGAACCAGAAATCCAAAGAAGAATAGTAAAGGGAAACAAAGCTTATTTTTCACTCGATCATGTGTTCCGCTCCAAAAGACACACCGAAGATCAAAAAACAGGGTCTACAAGACTATTATCAGACCAATAGTATCTTATGCATTCAAGACATTGGTGATGACGGAAGAGACAAAAAGAAAACTGGAAGTCTTCGAAAGAAAAGTCCTAAGAAATATGGAGATCCAGGTACAACCATGAACTCTACCAACTGTTCAAAGAGACACTGATCTCAGAATTCGTTAAACTTCAGAGACTTCGCTGGGCTGGTCATGTAGTAAGAATGAAGACAGAAAGACTGCCGAAAAGAGCCCTAGATAGTAAAATGCAAGGCGCAAGACCAAAAGGAAGGCCACGGAAAAGATGGGAGAACGCGCAAAATCTGCTAGACGTGAGAACCTGGAGAAGATCGGCACGGGACCGACAAGGTTGGAGGCATAGTTTGGAGGAGGCTAAGGCCCGATTTGGGCTGTAGCGCCATTGGAGAGAGAGAGATGTGTTAAAGATATGCTTTTCTCTTGTCTTATGCCAAATATCTGAATTCTCTGTTAAACCATGGTTTTTTAATTTTTGTTCAATTTATTGTTACATTCTACTATTGCCAACATTTATTTTATATGTCCTTCATATTGTTACTGTAATTTCCAGAGACCATTTGTCTCTCCCTTTTTATTGTAATATTATTGATTGTTAATAATTGATTATTGCATTTGTTACAGGTTGTCCTTCTCCAAATTACAAAATTCGCCATGTACTCGGAGGACCAAGAATCGCACGGCCTATTAACCTTGCATTATGGCAAACACCATGCTACCATAGTTGACGAAATTAAAACTTGCTTTGCTTCAGAGAATTACGCCGACATGACATTCGTATGTGACGACAAAACAACACTGAGTGCTCACAAGTTGATAATGGCGTCCGCAAGTCCTCTAGTTCGCCGCATACTCGGAGAGAGTGCCCATGCTCATGGACCTAGCGTTGTCCTCATCCCTGGAATTAAGAGTAACCACCTGCGCCACCTTCTAGATTTCCTCTACAATGGACAAGCTTGCATCAAGGTAATCATTTACCCATTTCACTATGTACAATGCGTTTTACATAATCACTTCGTTTTTGCTGTTACTAACTAGTCTTCGAGACTGTTGAGAGACTTAATTCAGATCTATTTACAGTGGCATAACTAACCATATGAGGCCCATTGCAAATTCATTGGATGAAGCCCCAAGAAAACTCATCAGAATGTACTTTAATTTTAATAAATCACTATAACTATATCACTATAAATCACTAATTCTCAATGAACAGTAATGTTGTGTCCATTTTAGTTAAATATCTAATTTTTAAAAGCATAGAGATTACATATTTATAATAAAATAATAAAAACAAAAAGAGAAATCATACGATTTCTACCTGGCGAAATCGAATTCAAATCTCAGCCACCGTGCTTTCTAAAACTTGCAAAGCAAACAGCTTGATGAATAAATCGGCAAGGGAATCTAAGATTGCGTTCCAAATGCCGTTCATCATGGCCAAAATTCGTAGTGAATTCAATTTCTGGTACTCCAAACGAAGTAAAGAAATAAACAAAATGATGGTATTAGATTTTGATCCGATACAGAGCAGCGACAAGCCGCATATACGTATTTCGACCTCTTTAGGTCTCCTCAGTACGATATAGCCACTGTGCACATTACGCACATTTTTCATCGTACCAGTCCGACCTTGTTTTTTCACGCTTTTGTCTTCCAATCTCTTCAGTTGCTACCTCTTCCAATATGATTCTTCACTGCCTCTAATAGTTGTTACCATCTTCAACTATATCACCTGTACAGTCCCCTAGCTTTCTTCTTCTTCTTCTCGTGCCACTCCTAGCGGAGATTGGAAATCATCATGGCCACTGCGACTTTGTTAGCAGCGCGCCTAAAAAGTTCAATCGAACTACACCCGAACCATTCACGTAGATTACGAAGCCACGATATTTTTCTTCTTCCCACACTTCTTTTGCCCTTAATTTTGCCCTGCATGATGTGTCTTAAAAGTTCGTACTTTTCACCTCTCACAATGTGCCCCAAGTATTCCATCTTTCTAGTTTTTATCTCATTTAGAATTTAGCATCTTCTGTCTAAAGTTTGGAGTCATCATCATCACAGTCATTAACATCTTAGTAGATGTGTTGTGGTTCATAATTGGGCTTCAGCAGCTCGGACAGTTTGATTGATAATATTTCTCCACTGGTCGCGGTCATCAGTTATATGTATTGCCTCAGTATACTGTTTATTGAGAAGCTTTTTAGTAATGTCCGCCCATCGCTGTGGAGATCTTCCGCGTTGGGGTTGAGTCTGAGGCCTTCCTTGGACCACCAACCGCTCCATTTTGTGATCACTTCGATGGATATGGCCAAAGAACTTTAAAATTCTAGAGTAATAGTTTTAAAATTCTAGAGTTCTTCAAAGTTTGGAGTACTTGCGTGTTAATGACGCGGTCCATCCATGATATTCTGAGAATGCGCCTATAGCACCACATCTCGAAAGCTTCGATGTTTTTTATGGTCAACTGTTTTAGTGTCCAAGCCTCAACTCCATATAATAGGGTAGAAAAGACATAACACCGCAGCATTCGTATTCGTAACTTTATATTGATATCACGATTGCAAAAGAGTTTGCGCATTCTATTAAAGACTGATCTAGCGATTTCTATTCTACATCTAATCTCTTTTGTTTGATCAGTATCGTCTGTGATCCAAGCACCTAGATATTTATAACAGGGCACACGTTCAATCGTTGTATTGTCTATTACAAGATTAGCTCTGATGTTCTTTGATTTCGTGATAACCGTAAATTTAGTTTTTTTTTTAAATTAATATTCAAGCCGTAACTGTTACAGTATATATTGAGACTTTGAACGAGATGTTGTAGTTCTACTAGCGTTCCCGTTAGGAGAACTGTATCGTCAGCATACCTTATATTGTTGATCGTCTTACATTTATTATCAGACCAAGATCTTCTTCCTCGAGTGCTTGTTCACAGATAGCTTCACTATACAGATTAAATAAAAGTGGCGATAAGATACATCCCTGCCGGACTCCTCGACGGATTTGAATTTCTTCTGTTAGTCTGCCCTCAACCTTGACATTTGCTGTTTGATTCCAATATAGATTGCATATAATTCGAATATCTCGGCTGTCTATATTTTTCTTTATTAGAACTTGTCTTAGTGGTTCATGTTGTACCTACTCTATGTTGTCCCCTAGCTTACCTTCCAGATTTTCCTCAAATATATTTGCTATCGCAGAGTTTTTTCACGCTTCCATGTTAAACCTTTCCTCTATTTCTCTCCATCTTTGACTTCATGAAATCCTAAAAATTACTCTTTAATGACGAGCGGCTATGGGATTTAGTTTTCGTCTTTCTCAATAATACAGTAAAGTTCACGCATTTGCTGTTTTTTTGAAATATCTTACGTCGTATTTTGAGATAATTTTCACAAACTACTTCTTGTGCTGCTTTATATATAGTAGTACCAATTTTGGTTTTCATTCTTCTGCAGATATTAATCTTTCCATACTTACTTGAGTAATACCATAGGCATTCCTTACCTTTTCCTTATCTTTCTCTGCTTCTTCGTTTATTTTATCTTCCTTCGTATTTATATCCTTTATTTTTGACCGTTGATGGTTGTTCCCAAATATATAAATATTTCTATACTAATCGTGTATTTTTAAATATCTATACTATGTCTTGTACGATAATTGTTTAGCCAAACATTAATACGGTAATTAAAAGACAACCAGTATAACTACAACAAGATATAAAGCCAGTGTCTAGCTAACTTTGCAATGAAATAAAAATAGATATGATTAAAATATGCTTACATAACTTGATATACGTGGGAAAGGCAGTTTACTAAGACTAATTTGGGATTTTTAGAAAGTAATGAAATTTTTCCTTGAGGTCTGTCTGATTACTATCCGATTACATACAAAACGAACATTTTTATTTTATTTATATATTGATTTAATAATAAACTTGGTAGAATACGATTAGAATATTAGAATGTTATAACATGCAAACCATTGGAACTGTCTGCAAAAGATAGCTACTGCTCTGATGAAATAAGCCAAAATATTATGGTGTTGGAGCACAAAATAGCCAAGCTGTTCACGTCTAAATCGGAATCAATAGAACGATACAACTTTTAGTTCGGTATCTCTGCCTCGTCAGCCGTTAGAGCAGATTCCAATTCAAATAATAAAATAAAAATAAAAATAAAAACATTTATTGCCATACTATTATGAATTACATGTCAAAATTGGTATTTTAGCCTTTTTTCTTCTGCTTTCTTCTCTTCTTCTCTCTTGCACCGCCAGCATTTGAATCTTCTTCCTCTCGGTTCCTGGATTTTCCTGGGTGGTGTCCTCGTCTGCTTCTGTAGGTACTGTATCGGTAAACGTACCTACTTCCCTGCATGCCTGGTTCTAGTCGCTGATCATGTGGTCAATCAGTCGATGTGTTTCTCGGTGTATCCTCTGGATCCTGTTCTTCTCGAGGATATCCCTGGTTTTTCGCAGTCTTCTTGTGGCCTGGTTGAAGAACCACCTGGTTCTGTTCTCGGCCACCTCCCTCAGTGGCGTGTACCCTAGTATATTCCTGATATGCTTGGTAGAGTTGAATCTTCTTCGCCTTGGACAGTGGACTGGACCTAAAAATAAAAGGAAGTATCAGTTTTTTAGCAGCATTTGCTTTTAGCTTTGTTTTTTGTGTATGCACCCGGAAGTTGAGTCTTCTGTCGAGATGGACACCTAAGTATTTGACCGTCTCTGCTTCCTGAATTCTGTTGCCTCCTACTGTGATCTCGTTCTATGGTGGTCGTTTTTCCTGGGTGAATTTAATGAACTGCGTCTTTTCTGCGTTGATTTTGATTTTCCATTTTTCCGTGAAGTCCGTGATTTTTTCTAAGTGGTACTCCATGTCATCTATGATTCTTCTTTCGTCTTTTCCGGATGCATACACTGCTGTGTCGTCTGCATACAGGGCTGTGGAAGTCCTAAGATCTGTTGGAAGATCTGCAACAAAAATTTTATATAATATAGGTGATAAAATGCTGCCCTGAGGCATTCCTTCCTGGATTTGTTGGATCGTTGACATCTTTTGGTCAGCTGAAACTTGAAAAGTTCTATTAGATAAATAAATATCACAAATATTAATTAAATAGTGCGGAAGTCTAGCCTTGTCCATCTTGTAGATTAATGCCTTCTTCCAAACCATGTCGTATGCTTTTTCTATGTTCAGTATGGCTAATCCTGTCTTCTGTTTTCTGTTGAATTTTATCTTCGCTTCGCTGATTATTCTTGCTAGTTGAAGTTTGCAGTTTCTTCCTTTTCTGAATCCGAACTGGTCTTCTTGGATAAATCCTCTTCTTTCTGTGTGTTTCATCAGTCTCTTGTAGATGATTTTTTCCAGGATTTTTTCCATCGATTCCAGGAGTGATATGGGTCTGTAGTTTTCTGGTCTTCTTCCATCTTTCCTTGGCTTCAGTAGAGGTATGATTTTGGCGTGTTTCCAGTTGTTCGGAAAATGTCCTTTTTCTAGGCAGTATTTGAAGATATATTACAGTTGTACTATGATCTTCTTCGGGAGTTCCTTGAGGGTGATGTTGTGGATTCCTTCTTTTCCTGGTGCTCTGCTTCCTTTCAGCTTCCTGATGATTTTTGCAACTTCGCTTGGGCTGGTATGGTCTTCCTCGTCTATATGGAACTCGCTTCTTCTTCTGATCCTGTTGTATTCTTCTTCGACTTACCTCCTTGTTCTTGCATCCGACATATCCTGGTTTTGTCTGTGTGTGACTGCCATCTTCCTTGATATTGCATCTACTTTTCCTTGGGTTTCGTAGTATGTTCCCTCGTTGTCCATGATTTGTGGCACGTTTTGTTTTCCTCTTCTTCTTGCCTTCAACATTTTCCAAACGTTTCCATGGCTTTCTTCGGCTCTTCTGATGTTGTTGTGCCATTGATTTTCAGTAAGACTTCTCAGTCTTACTCTTATTTCTTCAGATAGGATGTCTCCGTATTTCTTGAATTCCTGTCTCCTGGTCCTTTGGAATGCTCTTTTGGTCTTGTTTCTGTCCTTGATTAGGTTCTGAAGTTCTGCTGGGATGACCAGGCCTCTGTTGTTCGTCATGGATTTTGGGATGTTGGCTTCCATGGCACGTTGAATTCTTCTTGTGATTTCTTCTATTTTTTCTTCTACTTCTTCTATTGATTGGAACTCTCTCTTCATTTCCATTTGGTTGAGCTGTCTTCTGTAGTTAGGCCAGTCCAATTCAAATCGAAAAGTGCAACTAGTGTCTCCAAAATCTTCCCACTTCCAGTGGTTACCGCACAGAGGTGCCATCTACTTTGAAGGCGAGGTACGAGAACGATTTAGTAAAATAGTTCTCTGTTTTTCGGGGCTATCGAAATCTACAAACGATTGTAACTCGATTGTTTGGCCAAATTTTTTTGTTTTAATTTTTTAACGATGTGGCATTACTCCGAAAGCGCTACAGTACAGCGGATCATCTTCTTACAGTCAGAACTCTATTAAAGAACTTTGGGCAATAGAGAGAGCTATGAACAACTGCAGAATAGACTTCCGATACAGAATGCTTATACATAATACTTACAAGAAAGCTACAATGAAAATACAAATAGATGCGAACACCAAGGCTATAATAATCAACAGAGGAGTTTGCCAGGGAGATGTTATCTCACCAAATCTCACTTGGACTGGAAGACGTGTTCAAGACATTAACTGGGCAGATAAAGGAATAAACGGTAATGGAAACTGAGTCATTTAAAATACGCTGATGACATTGTAATATTCGCTACACTTCTTCTTCTTCTTCTCGTGCCACTCCTAGCGGAGATTGGAAATCATCATGGCCACTGCGACTTTGTTAGCAGCGCGCCTAAAAAGTTCAATCGGACTACACCCGAACCATTCACGTAGATTACGAAGCCACGATATTTTTCTTCTTCCCACACTTCTTTTGCCCTTAATTTTGCCCTGCATGATGTTTCTTAAAAGTTCGTACTTTTCACCTCTCACAATGTGCCCCAAGTATTCCATCTTTCTAGTTTTTATCTCATTTAGAATTTCGCATCTTTTGTCTAAAGTTTGGAGTACTTGCGTGTTAGTGACGCGGTCCATCCATGATATTCTGAGAATGCGCCTATAGCACCACATCTCGAAAGCTTCAATGTTTTTTATGGTCAACTGTTTTAGTGTCCAAGCCTCAACTCCATATAACAGGGTAGAAAAAGCATAACACCGCAGCATTCGTATTCGTAACTTTATATTGATTGCAAAAGAGTTTGCGCATTCTATTAAAAATTCGCTACACTAGAAATTACGAAATAGTAAGCGAATACATCTACCTGTAACAGATAATTAAAGTTAACAAAGAAAATTAAACTGCCGAAATTACCAGAAGAATAAGGTTAGCATGGGAAGGATTTGGAAAACTAAGTTGGATCTTGAAAAGCACTAAAATAGAACAATATTTGAAAACCAGAATTTACGATCAGTGCATCCTCCTTATATTCACGTATGGTTCACAGAAGTCGACACTTACCAAGTCTAATATGGATAAAACAGTAAAAGCACAAAGAGCGAAGGAAAGATCAATGCTCGGGGTGAGGCTTATAGACAAAAAAACAAACAAATGGATTAGAAGCAAAACCAAAGTAAAAGACGTAGGAGAACATGCTGCCAAATATAAATTGAGCCTTCCCAGGACACAATTCCCGACTGAAGAATAAGAGATGGAACCACTAAATACCACGAGACACAACTGGAAGCAATTGGCGCAAAATAGAAGACACTGGATTAATTTGGGGGAGGCCTATGTCCAAAGTTGAACTAATTCAGGCTGAAGAAGAAGAAGTACCTACTCTACTTTGAGCAAAATTTATAATTTTTTACATACCTGGTATAATAGTGACAAAATTTGATAGCTGATGATTGCATCTTAGATTTTAGACCATGCTCAACGTTTTATAAACAATATCTTTTTTTCCTAAAATTAATAATAAAAAAAATTTCCGATATAATAATTTGATTTGATAGTTGTATCACTACTGACTGATATAAACCCCTTTTCCCGGTACAAGACTTGTACGAATTAGCAGTAGATATGTTCGATAATAACTACCATGATTTACTAATAATTTTTTATTTTTTAGTCGAGTGAACTGGATAGTATTCAAGAGCTATTTGAGTTACTCCAGATCAAATCGGATATATGGCAGTCTTCTGGCTCTGAAGAGGCCAAAACTCAGTCCGAAGATGACAGCAGCTGGACTGCTCAAGACAATGAAAACTCCAATCCAGTCACAGTGAAAAAAGAAACCGACGACGACGAGAAAGAAGAGGGAGAAATTAAAGATGATGACGATGATACCACAAACGATAACAACTTGGAAGAACAAAATGATGGATCTCCGAACCCAGTGAACTTGTCATTGAACACGAAGAATTTAAATAATGATGAAAAATCGGAAGATTACGAGAATAGTTCTGATGTAAGTATAAATATTTCGAGAAAGATTTAATTGTAGTAGTAATTCCTTTAATTTGGTTTTAGAAGTCGGATCAGAAGAACTCAGATGTGCTAAAAATTGGCCAGTCAACCGTCAAGATAGCTTCCAAGGTTCATGAACTTTCTCAGTTTCACCAGAATCGAATGAAACGTAAAAGTGTGTACATAGAACCAATCGACCTCAAACATCAAGACGAACTATCTCAGCTGAAGCCCCCCATAGCCGATCAAAAGTTGATCTCGCTAGTTCATAGCCCAGACAATTACGTAGTTACTCCGCACAGAAAAAGAAGACCAGGCTTTTACAACGCTCCAGCACAAAACACCGCGTTTGTTCCTTTTTCTCCTTCGTACATTGATGATGCAACACATCATCACCTTAGATATAAGAATCTTCCTCCGTTATTGGCAGCTCACCATCCGCTTTCCCTTTCTGCGCCTCCATACTTAGTAGACCGAACACATACACCAACGCCAGGCCAGCATCCAGACACTTCCGGACCAGCAGATAACGTTGTAGTTAAGTACAGACCACCTAGTGCAGATCAGGGATTGGCTGCGGATTCTTACCAAGCATTTGAGCACACATGGGGCGCTTGGTCCCTGTGCCAAACCCAAGTCAATGCTCCTTCAGGAAATGAAGACTCTAGAGAACCTCCTCCTTCGTTTTCCACCAGCAGCAATGACGACGCAGCTGAAAGTTCTTCTCATGCAACGGGTAGTAAACAATCGTTACCAGCAGTTCAAGTTCGGGAGTATCGGTGTGAATATTGTGGTAAACAGTTCGGAATGTCATGGAATCTCAAGACTCATCTACGTGTGCATACTGGGGAAAAACCTTTCGCGTGTAGATTGTGCGTGGCGATGTTTAAACAAAAAGCACATTTATTAAAACACTTGTGTTCTGTGCATAGGAATGTTATATCGTCGAATGACGGCAATTCCGGGCGATTTAACTGTTGTTTCTGTCCATTATCGTTCGAATCTCTACCAGAATTAATAAGACATTTATCGGGACCCCATAATAACTTGCTGCTAAGCAAAAACATGCATGAACTCAAGTAGCACAACAATTACATTCCATTGCCCACTGATGGGGTCGTAAATAATATTTGGTACGACACCATCTTGTGATATACTGATCCTGATCAGTGCCTTTTCTTGTATCTCGCGTGGACGTAGTTATAGTCGGTTAACCTCAGGGGTATCTAGTGAATAATATCCCAGGAGCTACAGGCACGCAAGTGTCGGGACCAATTGTGCCTTTTTTCCACTATAATCGACGCCCTCCGTCTAAAATGTGTTAATAGTTTTATTGCCTAGACATAATTTCAACCGTTGTGTTCAATTTGACTTTACGTACCTAAGCTACGCGTGGTGTGTATGACAGGTGATTTTTAAATGTTTGTTTTGCTTTTTCGGCTGGTCCGATTTTCAGATCAGATGTTTTTTAATTTTATTCCTAAATTATTCCAAGCATCCACTGTTATATACATCACAAGTTGATATTTGTATGCATTAATGAAAAATGCCAACTAAAACAAAATAACAAAAATATACAACGACAATCAATAAATCAACTGGTAAGGTTAAAAGAGTACAGGAAATAATTTTGCTCAATAAGTTTGCAACGCCCATAACATCCAATTTCATAATATAATACCTTAAAGAGGTTCTTAGACATATGCTACTGATCCTATTTAAAAAGCTAACTGCCACTGATGGTTAACATGTTAATGAGCATTCAGGTCATTTGATATAGTCAACTGAACCGATGATATCAAAATTATATGTTCTCCTTGTGTCATCGACCATTTTATTCGATCTTGCAATGAAATTTAACAAGAAAACACCGATCAACTAAAAATTACTTGTTCTCCATTATGTTATCCATAATTTTCTTAAATGGTTTACAGAAAGTTATCAAATAAATTTATATCCACCGGAAATTACTTGTTCTTTGTAAGTATTCTATGATCTTGTTCCATGTTTGTTAGAAATTTATTTTAGAAACACCGATCAACCTGAAAATTATTTGTTCTTAATGTGTTATCTAAAATTTTCTTAAATGTTCACAGGAATTTATCAAATAAATTTCTATCAACTGGAAATTACTTTTTTTTCCAAGTAATCAATGATTTTTATGATATGTTTATATTAAAATGACTTGTTCTCCATGTCACGTACGATGTGTCACCTTTTCCTTGGTTCCATGTTTTACAGAAATATGTCCAAAAAAGTACCAATTAACTCTAAATAACTTGTGTTTCATATATTATTTATGAGTTTCTTCCAGATTTCACAAACATTTATCCGAAAAATCGCCTACTCTATAGAACTCTATAAAACCAAACCAAATTGGCTCCCAAACCGACACATGAACTGGCTCCAGCCCATTACGAAATTCCCAGAAATTAAGTCTCCTTCTGAAACTTGAATTGTGAGAAAAAGAGGTATAATATTCATCAGAAATTAGTAGTTGTAAACAATTTATTTATTAAAGAAACTGCAACTTACAGACTGTAGAGATACAGACTATATTTTATATATGTTAAGAACCTCCAATTCCTCTTGTTGCTTGCCAATTTCTTCGCTTGCTCTTTGGTGACCTCTCTTGTCTAGAATGGCGGCAAATTCATCGTCCCTGGTCTGCATGGGTCTGCCCCTCGGTCTTTTCAAGATTCTTCTCGCTTCCCACACTTGTTTCACTGGTCTTTCTTTATCCATCCTTACCATGTGGCGTACCATCTCAGTTGGGCCTCTTCGATTTTCTTCTCTATTGATTGGGCTTTAAGACGTTCTCTTATTTGCTCGTTCCGTATCCTGTCTATTCTGGTTACCCCTTTGGTTATTTTTTAGTCTGGTGGTGAGCGTCCAGCGTTCACATCCAAATGTTAAGATAGGTACAAAAACGGTGTTGTAGATAGCTATCTTGGCTTTTTGGAATACTTTTTTTTTCGATAGGAAAGTGCTCTTAATTGCGTGGTATATCCGGGAAGCGTTTGCTTTTCGATTGTTTATCTCTGCTTCTTGTGTACCCTTACTCTCTAGTTGCACTCCCAGGTATTTAAAGGTTTCGACTTGTTCTAAAGTATCGTTATTAATTGTAATGTTTGTATGTTGGTCTGTTTTCCCACATACCATGACCTTGGTTTTACTTTCATTAATTCCCAGATTACGTTTTTCAAGTTTATCTCTCAATATTTGGAGGTTTCTCTTAAGTGCGTCCTCGCTTCTTCCAAATACGACGAGGTCATCTGCAAATGCGCACTCCGCTATCTATATCATTTCCAGGTTTCTATGTCAAACAAATATTCTCAATGTTTCTTCTCTAGTTTCCTTCATTACATCATCTAGTACAATATTGAACAGGATACAGGTACACCTCCTTGTCGTAAACCATCATTGACGCTAAACTCGTCTGATTCCATATACTCTGTTTCTTGTGTTCTTATATAGGCTCATAATAGCTTTTCTGAGTTTGCAGTCTACTTCTCTGTTCCTTAGGCTTTTGTCTATTTCGGTTCGCGGGGTTCCAAAAACAATAATTTACATGAAATATCATTGCAAAACATTTATTAAGAGAATTCATAATAAATGTTTTGAAATGCTTCATTCACAAACATTATGAGGATTAAATTTATCAAAATGTTAAAGTCAAGTCTATATGAGAATGAATTAGAGGTTAGAATATTAATAAAAGTTTATAAAGGCACGCCATTATAAACAGCAAACATATTAACAATATTAAGTATGCAATCGATACCGTTCTGATAGCAGAAAACATAGAAGACTTACAAAATCTACTAGACAGAGTTAATAATGCAAATGAAGCAGTGGGACTGACAATAAATCTTCAAAATACCAAAGTAATGGTGATTGGTAGTACAGTAGATGAAAGCAAATTGTCTATAACTGAAAAATAAGCTTAGACATCCGAATTAGAGTTATTAAATGCTACGTTTGGCCAGTCATTCTGTATGGAGTTTAAGCCTGGACATTAAAATTAAATAGCATGAGACATGATCTTCTGCTCAGAATATCATAGACACAACACATTACGAATTGAACAGTATTGAACACCATAAATAGAGAGTTAGGAGAGTTAGAACTTATAACAACGATTAAGAAAAGAAAGACCTCGTACCTAGGCCACATAATGAGAAATGACAAATATAATCTGTTACGAATAATAATTGAATGGAAGTGGAAAGAGGGCTGAAGTGGAGTAGGCAGAGGGGCCATGTCATGGCTTCCTAATATCAGAAATTGGACGGGCATAAACTTTCAACAATTAAAAGTGGAGCAGAATAGACACCATTTTGACATAGTGATCTCAAACCTAAAGTAATGGAGTGTACCAAAGAAGAAGAATCGTTTAATAAACTTACGAGCTCTGTCTAAGGTAAAAATGGCATCCTTTCAAATCAGAATTTGGGAAAACTTGGTGAACTGCTATTTCAAAATCCACATACAGACCGACAGCAAACATTATACTTCTAGTCACACACTCCTCTTTCAAGAACTGGAACACACGTACGTAGGAAACAGTTTCCTTTTTGGGAAGGAAGCCATATACGAGAGGTACCTAGTGTTCATTCATGAGCCCGTGAACAGTAAACAGTTGACAAAAATACTTCGTTGAGTATTTAAAGGTTTCGTCCACGTAAGTTGTTTAACTGCACAAAAATTTTAAGTTTGTCTTACAAGAAAATACCACGAAATTGGTGTTCAAATAGTTCTTTAACAAAAACTGCTCTCCTTCTGTAATACATGCAGTTCCTTATCAGATGTAGATCATTCACAGTAAGCGTTTGAATGCCAGAACAGTTTACCTCTTTGTTAAGAAGTTTCCTTGGACTTCTCACAAATATCGGGACCCCATAATAACTTGCTGCTAAGCAAAAACATGCATGAACTCAAGTAGCACAACAATTACATTCCATTGCCCACTGATGAGGTCGTAAATAATATTTGGTACGACACCATCTTGTGATATACTGATCCTGATCAGTGCCTTTTCTTGTATCTCACAAATATCTTCAACAGCCTTTCTCTTCAATGAATTGTCGAGTTTTTGACGTTTTTTGAGCTTTTCCAGACTGCTTCTCTCATGGTTGTGCTCACCACCAAAGTCGAGCACTATGTACGGTGTTGTCACATACTCTTTATATGATTGGTGTGCCCACTGCCGTTACTTTAATTCTCCCTAGACCAGGGAACAAGTTGTGGAGGTTATCTTAAAACTGTTCGCCACTAGCATGTATTTTCCCCGTTCGCTTAACATTTCATTAGCTTGCATTTTGTACGACGATATGATCAAGTACAAGCAAGACGCATCTAACTATCAGTAAACTAAGTTGAAATAAGTTTTCAATTTTTAACTGGCCAATGACCCCAATAAAATCCATCGCCTACCTATCTAAATTTCCAAAAATTTCATCGGGGCCAGTTCACGCAAACCCTTTTATCGGTATAGAGCTTATTATTGTACCTGCTAATTTATGTGCCCCTCTTATGTTATTTATAATTTTCTTCCACATTTTACAAAAATAAATCAAAGAAATGCCTATCAACAGGAAGTTACTTATTTTTTGTAAGTTGCCTATAATCTCTCTTTAATAAATAAACCTTTTATCAACTGGAAACTATTTGTAAGTAATCTATGAGTTTTTTCCATGTTTCACAAAAATATAATAAAGAAATGCAATAAGACGTTACTTGTTTTCTGTAAGTAATCGATTATTTTTTGCCGTATCTCCAAGAAATTTATTAGAGAAACATGGATCAATTGAAAATTACTTTTTTTACACCCATATGTTATCCATAATTTCTTTAATGTTTTAAGTAGTTTTCAACTCTACTAATTAACTTTTTAATGGTGTTCTTCCGGTATATGTGTTGTCTTCCAGTTTCTAGAGGAACGAACTTACAGAAATGACACAACTGAAGTTGGAGGAAGACGGTAAAAGGGAAGGAGATAAAATCACTTTTTATGTAGCAGACAACTTTATATAGATCTGCTATCTTGTTAAACTTTTTTGTTGTTTTGTATATAGTTAGTA